GGTCAGATTTTTGTCAACTGCACTGTTGACTAGAGGTTTATTGCTGATGACGATTTTCATTCAGTTTTAAGTAAATCCAAACAAACATGTATCAACATTCAAAAACACCTTGCCGATTTGAAGGCGCTCAAATAGACAAGTGGGATTTACTGCTGTTTTGTCGCGTAACCTCATTTCTTCACGTTTGTTATCGCGCCGGCTCGTAATTTTAAATTGTCTCCCATCAAACCGTCACGTTGCGGAACTTCGTACTAGGCCTACGTAGGCTACGAGGCCAAACACACGGCGGGCTTTGCTAAGGCTAGCGATGACGTCAGTCCCATGGACAAATCCATCGTCAGTCCACAGCACAGAATTCTACACTTAGTGTGGTCCACTGAAAGATTAGTATATCCCTTAATTGCCAGATTGGCCTCTTTGTAGCTTACAAAATTAAAAATGAGACTGTCTTGAGCAGCACAGACACATATATTATTTTATCAGCAAAACATGTATCTATCATTCAGCCTTTCTCTAACTACTATCAGAACATTTATTGTCAGCATGGCACTACTCTTTTTTTTTAAATTGACTTTTTAACCACCTATAGGCGGTAAAAAAAATAGCCGAAAGATCGTTCGCCCACCTTGCTCCGTCAGTTTGGAACTCTCTTCCCCAACCCTTGAGACATACAACATCTGAGTCTAAATTCAAAAAATCTTTAAAGACACATTTAATGACATCCTTTTTAAGTCAGTAGATTCATGTTCAGTACAATGTTATGTAAATGTCTATGTATCCATTTATGTATTTTGTGAATTGCAGTGTATACATTATTTTATTCTCATTTCGTGACGATGTGTCATCGTGTGCGTGTTGATAAGCAAGTAGATGTGTGTGTGTGTGTGTGTGTGTGTGTGTGTGTGTACGTGTGTGTGTGTGTGTGTGAGTGTGTGTGTGTGTGTGTGTGTGTGTGTGTGTGTGTGTGTGTGTGTGTTTGGCATACATGTGTGTGCACATGTGTGCGTGTTATGTGTTCGTAAGTGTGTATGCGTGTGTTTGTGTGTGTGTATGTGTATATGTGTGTGTTTGTGTGTATATGAGTGAGTGTGTGTGTGTCGCGTGCATGAATATTTTTCTTACATGCATTTATGTAAAAGCGCCTAGAGCTGTGTTTACACGGGAGTGGGCGCTATAGAAATGATCTTCATTATTATTATTATTATTATTATAGTTCCTGTTTGGCATTTACTCATCGTTTTCTCCCCACTAATAACTTACCTGGCCCTTAGGAGTCTGGCCGGCGAAAGAAGGAATCATCTAGTGAAGATATATCCATACGGAAAATTTTAACGAGGAGCGATAGACACTCGGCTGTCAGAGTCTGGGCCGAAAACCCCCTCCCTTTTCAACCCTCACCCCAGCTAGACACCAAGTTCTATAATAAGCATTTGACACACTTCCCCACTTTGTTACAACACAGTGTTCAGTGTTCAGTTCTGAGAACTGAGAAGTGCGATGAAGTACATTTGATGATATAATGATCGGAAACTTGTGTGCTTTGTCCAGCTTTGTATAGCATCTGATTGTAGACTTGATCTGCTTGGGACAGCGTCTGGTACAGTAGCAATTGACTTTTTGTCATCATACAGGACAGTTCTTATTACATATATTTAACGGGTTCAGTGCACGTCGATATTTTGTATGGGGGTGTAGAAAGTACGAGTAAAGTACTGTACTGGAGGCCAGGACCAGCGATTTATTGCTTCTCGCTTTCAGTTTGTTTTCTAGCTTAGACTCAAGTAGTGTGTTTTCTTTTTCTGTGCTGATCAAGTGAGTTTCTATTAATCTCAGTAACTTCCATCTTACATTATTCCTAATATCGTTTCTTGACGCTACCGCATATTTTAGCTCTCTCACATTATATTACAATGTTTACTGTGGTGTGTGTGTGTGTGTGTGTGTGTGTGTGTGTGTGTGTGTGTGTGTGTGTGTGTGTGTGTGTGTGTGTGTGTGTGTGTGTGTGTGTGTGTGTGAGTGAGTGGGGGAGGGGGTGGGGATGGCGAAAGTAGGGGTATAAAATAAGGAGAGAGAGAGAGAGAGAGAGAGAGAGAGAGAGAGAGAGAGAGAGAGAGAAAGAGAGAGAGAGAGAGAGAGAGAGAGCATGTGTGTGTGTGTGAGTGTGTGTGTTGTGAAGGAAGGGGGTGAAGGATGGAAAAATAGTCGACGTGAATGACCGCCGGTCAGTTCTATAAACCACGAGCCGCCACTGGACCTACACCGAGAAATGAGAGCCTATAATATAGAGCCTCGTGGGCAGATGTTACAGTTATAGATTTTGAATTGAAAGAAAAGGGAATATAAAAGCAACAACAAATGAATGAGAAAAAGGTGAAAGCAACGAATACGTTTTTACACTGCATACTAGATCGATATAATCTTTGACAATGAATTTGCTTCCCATTACTCTTTCTTAAATCTTCAAGGTTCAGGATAACCTCAATTTCAGAACATAACAAAGCATCAACATTTTTTTCTTCCAAAAATACATTCTTTAAAGAAAAATTAAGATAAAAATAGAGTAATTGAGAATCGTTAGTTTACGAAAAAGGGTCGGTTCTTTTTCTCAGCAGCTTAAATTGCAGGAATCGGTTTTGGAATCGATTCTTGGCCCACCACTTGCCACTTACCACTAAGTCACATCCGCCGCACCCCGCACCTCAAAATGGCCGACCACAACACTAGAACTATTGACTTGGGGCTATTGACTATTGATATTAGCGAATTTGTTGTCGGAACACCGATCGTACTCATGATGCAATAATTCTGGTCAACAGATAATTGGTGGGTATCCTTCCACCCCACTGAGTGATTTTGTAAAACACAATTCTGAATCGGTCCAAGCAACCCATAGCATCTAACTAAGTCTAAGATCTATACTAGATCTAGATCTAGCTATGCATAGCATAGATGATAGAACACCAACAAAAGGCAGTGCCAAAATAATGTAAGCTGGCCACTTGCTCGGAAGTCGAACTTGAAGACCTGAAATTACAGTAGACTAGATATCTAGATCTAGTTCTCTAGATCTAGATTTAGAGATATCTAGCTTATTACTAGATCTACTTGATTGATTTATAAATTGAAATATTGTTGTCAGGGGGGCTTCCCTGCCCCCACCACCCCCCCCCCCCCCCCCCCCCCCCCGGGCAAACTTTCCTGAAACCCCCCAAGCCCAATGGCTTGAATCTACCTAGATCTAGACTGGATCTAGATATATCTAGATGGATCTAGAGTTATTCTGGTACTGCGCAATACCGTAAGGCCACCTCTATTCTCACCCGGAGTGAGAATAGTGCAGGCGAGTCTTGTGGCTATTCTCACCCGGTGCGCGTTCACCAAATTTTGCGTTCACCCTAAACCACAGAATTCTACACTGTGATAACAGAAAAATTGTAGAATTCTGTGCCGTGAACAAACGTTCCATTACAACTGTAGCCTACTAAAAGCTAACAATTTTGTCTGTGGGCAGTGGAGAGAGAGAGAGAAAGAGAGAGAGGAGTAGCGCGAGAATTTCCGGGCAAAACAAAATGGTGACCCGCGTAGTTCGGCTCGATTCGAAAAGTTAAATAGCCGTAGCATCTTTGTAGACAACCAAATTAATTTACTTTTGTGTTTTAACATCATTTTTTAACTTGGAATTATTTTTCATCAATCCTTCCGCGAGACTCGGAAAGCATGTGACCCCGCACGCAGGGTACACTACAGTATAGAGCCGACTCGCTCGCCGCCGGTGCGCCGCCGCCGGGTCAACGCTCGGTGTTTTTGTCGAAATAACGATAGATCATCGTGTTTGAGGCAATAAAATACTGATTTGTAAAGATCTCCCTGTCTTGAAAAACATTAGGCTCCATATATTTGTTATAGGAGCATTTGCCAAAAGGTGGGATACCTGGGTGTGACAAATGAGGTCCAAAATCAACTTTATGTAATAATTCTTTAATCACCCATATTATATAGCCTTATGATTGCTCTTTCAGGCTCAGTAACTGCCAAAGCTGTATATGCAATGGTTTTGGTGTAATTCTGACTTGAATGACGGAAATAGCAAAAAGTTCGTTCATAACAATGATGACACAAATTTATGAATACTCAAAGTTCCTTTCTTCAGCTAGGCTGAGGTTATATTTTGAGACATAGCAAATAACTTCCAAAAATACATAGAATTGACAGTTTATAAAAACCTTTATTAATTTTTGATAAAATTACTTTTTTATGTCATAATAGTTATGAACGAACAATAAGTGACCAAAATACTATCAATTATGTCAAGTTTCAATGGCTAGAATTGTCTAAAATAACACTCTGGTTTAATTATAGTCAAGTGATAAATGAAAGACCATTTAACAGCTATTTTTAAACGCAAACTGGTCATAGGGCATGTTATGCATAAATTTAAAGTTCGTTCATAACCATTATGACACACTGTTTCGTTCATAACTATTATGACAAATTTTACTTTGGGCCCCTAAAATTTACTTATATTGTTCTGTCTTTCGCATAAAATGGTTTTCATTTATGAGACTTTCCTTAAAATATGATAGATTCCTCTATGTAGGGAGAATTCAAAGTTTATTCACTGAAAAACCCTTAGAATACCTTTAAAATGGTTCGTTCACCACGCGTAAGACAAAACTTGAATGTGACCTAAAATGATTACATTTTGACCAGCCA